ATTTTATTTTATTTATTATCTAATTATGTATATAAATATCATTTATATGTTATACATATATATATTCATCCTCAACAAAAGGATCTGTTGGTGGATCTTTTTATCAGTTCTGGAAAATTCTCAGTCAGTACAGATTTAACAACTGCCTCTACTCCATTGTTTCTCTTCTTCTGTAACTCTTATGTCCTATCTCTCTCTGTCCTTCATCTTTTAAAAAATAAAACAGAGATCTAGAAAACCACACAAAATAATGTAGTTTATCGACTGTTGTTAGCAGCTGTTGATGCTCGATGCCTAGATGACTTATTCACTGGGGGTTGCATTATGGTGATATTCTAATTCTATCACTTCTTTTTATTAGTTAGACAACTTATATGAAGAGACACTTCTCCTCACCTACCATTTGGTCACCCAGTGGTATACTTCATATAGGAAAGGCAGGATAAATGCTTGATTTTTTTCCCCCTTTATTTAACAGTTTTCAAGATAATGAATTGGTTCCCTGTCCTCTAAAGGCAAATAGTTGCTTTCATTGAATGTCATTATAAACTCTTTTTTAAATATATTGGATATATTTTAATTCATTGCAATTATTATGAACGCAGATTGTCCCATCTTGGCCAGTGGGGGAGCCTCTTGCATAAGCCGCCTGAGTCCTTTGGACATGGCCCTAATAGTCTTCGATAGCTACCTTGCTATATAGGATGACAAGATGTTCCAGCCTCGTTTTTTACATTTCTTGTCCCAATATGGAATCAGCTATTTCTTGAAGATGCCCTTGGGTTTTGTTTTGCTTTTTCAATTCGAATTGGTATTTTAAAATCACAGTCTGGGTGCTGGGGATGCTTATAGCTATTGAATTGATCCTTCCATAATTCTAGTTCTCAAAGACATAGGAGATGATGGAATTAGAATACGCCCAGTTAACCATTTACTTGTTCCTACATTATATATACAACAGTACGAATGATAATTATTCAATTTCTATTATATAATAGTTAAAACAATTTTTTTGCATATGTTCTTTCCATTCTCCCCCAATTTTCAAAATAATTATGCTGTATCTATGTGATCTGATTATATAGCCATAGCCATTATGTACTATAGTCGCTCCCTTTTGACCCCATTTATTTTGTGGGAAGTATAAATGTGTGTGTGTGTGTGTGTGTGTGTGTATAGTGGTAAAATATACACAACAAAATTTGCCATTTAAATCATTTGATTTTATTTTTGAATAATTTCTTAAATTAGTTTCAGGTGTACAAAACAACATAATGATTAGACATTTACACCCCTCACAAAGTGATAACCCCCCCAAGTCTACTACTCTTCTGACATTGTACATAGCTATTATAATACCACTGACTATATTCCCTATGCTTGGTGTACTTTATATCCCATGACTATATAATTTGAGTTGGCGGAAAAATCATGATGTATTTTTCTATGTTTTTCATTGCAAAAATGCGTCATGACTTTTCTGACAACCATATATATATATATATAT